ATTTTAATTTGGTTCCCTTCTCTCTTGTTATTTTTCTTTAAACCACTGCACCAGAATGTGTTTTGACCATCTTCCAAACTGAAACACGTACAAAAATTTCTGAAGCATTCCAATAATTGTAAACTGGGCTGTGCTGCCCAGGCAGGAACTCTGCTTCTCTCTCGTTCTTTCTTTCTCTTAAACAAAAAGTATTTCCACTGAAAATAAAGAGAAAATGTATTTCTGCAACATACAGAAGCAGTGAAATAGGACACTTCAGCTTCATAGAAACAGGCAATGTGAAAATAGTCTGAATTCTAACAATAACTATAGAATGTTAACAGTTAATTGTTACCTTTACTTCTCAAAAAAACCCCCAACCTGCTCATTTTAGTTTAGAATTGCCAGGCTTCTATCCTGCAAGCCTCAAGAAAAACCCAACCCATCCTCTCCCAGATTTATTAGTATTACTATGTAGACAAAGTCGCTGGTTGTACAGAAAATGACAATGTAACCTATTATTTTCAGGATAAACCAGTTTTCAATCTAATTACCACATTCTTGTAAATATTCTATAAGTTACTAAATAATAGGGCTCACTATCATGGTCTGCATCTCACAAATGGCCCTGCAGAGAAAAGGCAAACAGAGGCCCATTGATTCCCATGCACAGAGCCCAAAAGGCCACTCCAGCAGCCTCTTTGCAAGACCAAGACCATAGAGAGACCTACAATTGCTGAATTATACTCACTACCACACCATCAAATATGCAAACTTAAGGGGTTTACATAAAATCCACTTGATCATTACAATTGCTGGTCCTTCTTTACTTTGTTTTTTTGTTCCTCTCCTTTTCCACATTAGCTGAGAAATCTACTTTGTCTCCTTTGGCTTGCAGTCAACTTTGCCCTCTTGTTCTGTAGCTTGTAGATATTGGAAAATACCTACATTTGTTAAAAAACAACCTGAATCTAAGAGAAACAGTGAAGCCAATTCTCGCTGGTTTAGTATTTCTAAAAACAATGCTATGTCAAAATTCATATTCCCAGCTACATCTGAGTTGACAGTGTCCCTGTCAGAAAACAAATCTCTTTGAAGCTTTGCTAATCTCCTTCCAAGTGCCACTCCAGCCTCAGCCCAGTTTTGACTCAAAAAAAAAATAGCTGGATGATAACAGTTACGTAAAAACCCGCAAAAATGTGTTAATAATAAATAAGCCAAAAGGCTTATAAAACGAAGAGCCAAATGGATACATGAGATAGAAATCACATTTTTTCCCCCCATAAATATGATTTCAGTGCAAAAGCCTCTGTTGGTAAGCGTGCCAACCTGAAAAATAAAGATAAAACACACAGAATGTTTCCATGCAAGGTTTCAAATGTGTTTTGATGCATTTCTGGGGGTGCAACCACCGTCTCTGCTCCCTGAGAGATTCAGCAGAATTCACCCATGCTATTCCTCTTGGAATAAACACATGGACAGCAAAGGGTTAACTCCTGCTCTTGAGGCATCAGCCTGGCTGGGGTTAGAGCTTTTCCTCTCTTGGAGGGGTCAAATGAACTCACAATAGTTGATTCATAGCCCAGTGTGGAGCTGAAGGACAGAGGTCAGACAGGTTGAATTGCCTGTAATTTGCACAACTGCTCCCATGCTAGCCCTGGACCCACATCAGCATTCAGCAGCCAGAGCCCCCAGGATCTCTGCTTGTGGTGTACTGATAACACCCTGTGCAGGGCCAGAGGTGCACTTCTGTCCAGCTTTTCCTGCAATTATCATGATGTTCCTCAGAGCTTGAGAATGACACAGTCATCTACTTAATTTCTGCTAAAAGCAACCTCTCTCCCTCAAAATGAAGGCCACTGTGTAACCTCTTAGGTGGGCAAAGCTCAGCTGGAGACAGGCAGCATGCCTGGCATGGCAGGGCACACTTATACATCCAAGATAAGCACTTGCATGATCAGACAATGCCTGACATTTGCAATGGGAAAGATGAACAGAAAGCACCATAGGAAAGCACTTTGATCCTTTTGCATATTCCAAGATAAAACTCTAACTTGGATATGAAGGGGGATCTACTGAAGGGTCTTGAGAGATTCATTAACATATGCAAAATCATAGAACCACAGAATGGTTTGGGTTGGAAAGGACCTTAAAAATCATCCAGCCCCAACCCCCTGCCATGGGCAGGGTCACCTTCCACTATCCCAGAGTGCTCCAAGCCCTGTCCAGCCTGGCCTTGGATACTTGTTCCCTGCCCTAACAGGAACCCAGGCTAAAAGTCTGATTTCACAGCTCAAAGGAGAAAGGAATGTCAAGGTTTGGTGTATGTAAAGCTGATCCTTCCTCATATGTTTTAATTTCTGTTCTGTAAATTTGGAGCTGAATAGCTGCAGGATAGCTGGTTTGGCAAACTTATACACCTGAGAGCTACAGATTTGTTCTAAGGCATCTGAGTTATCCTTAAAAACAAAATGGAAGAAGAATTTTGGGGATGCAATTTCAAATATTCAGATAAGGGTGAATATTCATGGATTAACTATCTTGTTGGACTGCTGTTGGAGGTCCAGCCATTGCCAAGCATTGAGGGACCTGACTCTCTGTGAAAGCAAAGATTACATTCCTTCAAAAAATTGGGCTTTGATGTTGCTAAAGGAGAGAGCTTCCTGCAAAGAAATTTTCTCCATTTTCTCAAAAATGTTGAAATTTTGGAATCATCTAACCTCTGAAGTTTGCTCTAAACCAAATTGCATGGCATTTTTGGATATAGGGCCTCTAGTTTGCCTGATATAATCATGTAGCTCAACTATCTCTGAAGAAATATTGTAATGTAACTCTTTTATTATATAAGAAAATAGGCAGCAGACACATGTAATCATAAAAAGATTGAGCAGGCTCATTTCCTGAAGTTTATTTCCTTTTCGTAACAAATATTTACTGTCAAATGTTTATTGCTTTTACATTTGGATTTTTTTAATACTTTATTGAATTAAAAATACCACATTACCATTGGCTAGAAGAGGAGACAGCTGTATTTGCCAATAATTTCTACAGCTAATGCCAGTGACTAGTGCCAATTTTTTTTTTGGTTCATATTTTTGTAGACAGCTTTGAGACTTATGATACAAGTATTCTGCAGATGAGGCCTGAGGAACACAAAGGTGAAAAGAACACCAACTTCAGAGGTTTAAAAATCTAAAGTGATAATTTCCTCTAAAGAATTTCCTTTCCTTGCCATCAAACACCAATTCAGAGTAGTATAAAGGATGTAAATATTTGCTTAAATTAACAGCATATGACATAACTGATCCAAAGCTTCACAGGGTGAATGCTAATTCTTGATGTACATCTGCAACAGAAATAATTCTAAATAAGGGACTGCAAACTGGTTTTAATCTGCTGAAGTTCTACCAGGCTTTTCATTAGGAAGCACTAATGTCCTCACAAAATATGCTTCTTTTTCAGGAGAAAGGAGAGGCAGAAAAAGAGCACGTTTTTCATTGTGTCAAATAAAGTGCCAAATAATTAGATTGGTGAAAAATCTTGGGAGACACAAACACCTGCTGTCTGTAGCTCACAAAGAATGGTGCCTTTTGGCACATTATTCTGGCAAATAATGAGTCCCTGAAGCAATTCCAGACTGGACATGCAACTCCTGTGTGAAAAATGCTGACCACCTACCAGCGGGCTGACATTCTCATCAGGCACTGGAATATCCAGAAATAAAATGGTTTTTTATCACAACAAGGGAAATAGCAAAAACCTCTTCCAAGAGCAGTCCAGCTGGGTGACACCCACACAAGTGGAACAACTTGAGTCATGCTGGGTAGATCTGAGGTTTTCTTTACAGACCTATATTCTAATACTTTGCTTCCAGTACAGTAGTCCTGGTGGTCTGCATTTTCTTGATGGAGCTGGGAAATACAACCTATCCAGATTCTTTTCCTATTGTTTTATATTAGCTAGTTTCCAAGTCCAAAATAAATAAAACAGCTAATGTGAAACTAAGAGCATTTTCCCAGGACTTGCATGTGTTCAACAGTTTTAGTAATTTGGCACTTAGAAACCTCAGTTACCTCTGATTATTTTTTTTTTTCTTAACACTGATTTAAGATCCCAATCTTGTTCAGAATGGGAATGAGGGAGAACAAAAAAATACAAATGGCCAGTTATTAAAAGCAAGAAGCCTGTCTGCTTCTTGCCTGTCAGTACAGGAGGGGATGCTGCCAGCAGGTGCTGGTGACCCAACACAGCTTCATGATTTTTTTTTTTTATATCCCCAAGGCCACACTGGAAGCAGGCATTACCCTGCTCCCTGTCTAAAGCAGGGGATAATGTCTGCTCAGAATTAAAAGATCTGATCATGTGTAAGACCTCAGGAAAATTTTAGCTGTCTAAATTCCAGAGGATGAATCCAACAGCCTCATCTCAAATATAACCTACTTCTAGACATTTTCCATTTTGCCAACCAGCCATGATACAAGCCACACTACACTCAAATCCTGATTAAACATAGTGTTGCTTAGAAAACACACAAGATTCTGCACAGAATTCTGTAAGGCCTCATGAAACAAGCAGACATCAATATTTCTTCAGCACAGAGTTAAGAGGCAGCTCCTAAGAACACTGCAGTGGTCTGAAGGTGAAGTCTGTGAAACACCCAGCCAGCCATCTAAGCTGACTTTGTGGAAGTAGCCAAACACTCTTGTGAGGAGAGACTTTCACCTCAGCTGAACTTCCAGGAAAACAATCTCTACAGAGCATTTCAGCAAAACAATATCAAAAGAGAACAAAGTGTAAATACCAGTTTTTCTGAGTCTGCTCTGGGAGATTACCAAGGGCAGTGTGGGGAAAGAAGGCTGAGGCCTAAGCATGAGCTGCTGACACAGAGCTCAAGGCCGCTTGATTTTCCACCAGCAGCGCTGAAACTGAGGGCAGTACAGACTCCTTTTCTCTTCCCCTGGGCTTGGCAGCTTTATTCCCACTTCCCACATTGTTTCCAGCTACAACCCACGAGTTCTTACCTCCATATCCTTACAGAAGGTGGCGTTGGTGCCGAAAAGGATCTGGCACTGCTCGTCGGCGCTGTAGTGCATGCCCGGCAGTTTGTGAGGGAGCCGCACGGAATATTGGCTCCGGGGGTCTGTCACCAGCAGACAGGTGCTCACCTTGGACCTGGACAAAGGAAAAACACCTTTAGGGAAAGCATCTCTGAAATGCAGTGTTAGATCACTGCTACAGAGCCACTGTCCTGCCTTTAACAGGGACTGTGAAACAGTGGGTTTTCCCTGCAAGTCTTCTAAGTCATTGAGAACTATGGATAGAAAAGGTCCTTGGGAATTCCTGCATGACCCCAGGCCTCAAGGCAGGACAGATGACATTCACAACATTCTGGGTTAAACATTTGTCTAAACTGTTGCTAGAAATCTGACAGAGACTCAATTCAGCCCTCAGGCAATCCAGCCCAAAGCTTCACTAGCCTTGAAACAACTGCTAGAAAGTCTCTTCCATCATGTCTCACCTCAATCCCCGCAGCTGAATTTCGAGCCCTGGACATTTTTTCTTATCCATCACAGACATAAAGGGAAGATTTTTCCCTTTGCCTTCACAACAATCTTTTACAAATTGGAATATCACTGTCATACGAGGACCCAGACTCAACCAGATGAGTTCAAATGCAATTTCTTTTTTCTAATTCATGTCTTTAATGTGGCAGTAAATATCCCATTTTCTTTCATTATTTTCCTTTCTTTCCCACCTCTAACCTCCAGAGCAGGAAATTCTCCATGCTGAACCCACTCCCTGCACAAAGCACTCCGCCAGGCACTGTTTGTCAGAGAGCTGCACTGTAGGTTTAAGATTAGAAGTGCAGAGTTCAGACAATTCCAGTGCTTCCTGTAGTACATGAGATTTAACAAGGAACAGCAAAGAAATCCTTCTTGAACAATTCAATATGATGAGCTGAAACATGCACGCAGTGGGAAAGAAGTTTATAGTGAACCATTTTAGACCAACACTCACTGAGGAGTGAGAAAACACATCAGAATTATCTCCAAGCAAAGTCAAATTCCAATAAAATAAAAGCTATTTAATAACAAGACAGTAAAAACCATAGCATAAAGCTGTGGCATCTTTAAGCAGAGATTTCTGCAGGCCACCTACACACAGATTTCTGTCATTGCAAAATTTGAAGGGCATTTTCTGTAAAAAGAAGGTGATAGGGGATTTTTTTGAAAGATGTTATCAGCACATTGACAACTGCTCATAATTCTTCTGCCTCTCTTCAACCTTTCAAGGGGCTATTGCAATGGAGACATTCAAATTTGCTAATGACACATGTACACTTCTTTAAAAGGAAAATTATTAATACTTTCACTTTAAAGCAACAAAGTGGATTCTTGCCTGGTAGGATTTTTGACACTCAGCACAATCCTTACTTTAGGAAGTTCTCGAGGTCATCTCGGCTGCACGAAGACCAGGAAAGGTCACTTGGGTTCCTGCCCTTCACCCATTCACCAGACATAATGTGAGACCTCCCAGCACAGGGCTGATGATCATCATCGTGGCTCATTCCCATGCTGTTGGATTAGAACAATATAAGAGAAAAAACCTATCAAGTTATGATGTGGGTTTCTCATTTCCCACTGCCTTTTGTGATGACATTCTCAGCAATTAACAGTTGGACAACAGGCTGCAAATACAACACACAATCCATGTACTGCCCATGACACCTGTTAAATAAGTGAACTAGAGGTTCCTTTAATTTATCCACTGCCTTAATTTCACAAAGTGATTGGTATTTGTGTGTTTGAAACTTTTAAATGTGCATCTTATGGACTTTCCTTCCAGGGTTTATGAGAAATGAACCTGGAGAAGTGAAGTAGCTCAGAGAAGGGGTATCTGCTGGAATATTTACTGAAAATTTTGGATTGCTTTCCCAAATCTAGTGGATAGGATCCCTCCAATTACACTGAGAGAATGAGCTAGAGATGGGCCTACTTTGTTCTTGCATCAGTGTGAATATGGAATATACTGTTAGAAAAAACATTTTTCTAAATTAGTGGTACTGTATCTAACGTTGAGGCTGATCCTTTTTTGAGTGGTGGGTTGGATCAGATGATCTTCAGCAGCCCTTGCAACCTAAATTAGCCTCTGACTCTGTAAAAGCAGTGCTTAGACTGGAGCCTGAGGCAAAGCTAAGCCCCATTTCTGCAAGTACTGTCCAAACAAGCACCAAGACTTCCCCATGCCCATCTCAGCAAGGACAGAATGTGACCTACTCAGCAAAACAAACCATCTAAACAAACAGCAGATTGTGTTGTATAAACACATAGAAGAATTCAAACACATTCAGTGAGGATTTCCAAAAGTACTCAGAAACAGAAAAGTGTTACTTCAACCTCCATCCAACTTCCCTCTCAGGACCCTTCTATCATTAGGGGAGTCTTCACCATAGGGCTGCTACAGCAGGTCCAGGTTCAAAATAAATCCCTGCTGCCACTATAGCAAGGTGAGACTCCTCTGGTGCAGGTAAAACTTTGTGAACATGGAAAAATGGTGTGACCAAGATCACCTGCTACACTCGGTCCTACATTAAGTCCATCACACCAACCTGCCTGGCAGTGAAAGTGAGTCAAGGATTCTCCATCCTACTTCAAAATGAACATTAAAATCCTTTTTCAGAATCATACAGAGTAATAACTCTTTGAAATAGTAACATTTCTCCTTCAGTTCCAAGGTGAAATGGAAGAAAGGTGCCTTCTATGGCCAGTGTCACTTTCTAGCAAAACACCACCAATTTGGGGGTGAAAACACAGAATTCACAGGGTCTCCAGCTGGCTGGCTGGAGCAAGGCAGGAGCAGTCCCTTTAAATATGCACTGTTTAATCCATACTATTTCCCGACAAATCTGAGGCTCCTGTTTGCTTTCTGACTGTGCTCTTGGCTTTGCTTCTCCCCAGTCGTGGGACTCAACTGTTCAGAGCCCAAACACGACATCCATTTCTACTTGCAATGAACCAAAACCCACTTCAGCACTTTGATAATTATGGCTTAGATTAAACCACCATCTCTGCTATTTTTAGCTTATAGTGAAGATTATATGGTGGAGTCTATTATTTTAGGTTTATCTCCAGGGACATTATTATTATTTCTAGCAAAACTACATTTAATATAATTTTTAGACTCAGTAGTTCATAGTTATTCTTGTTTTTAAACCTTTGTGGTTTTTGAACACTTCAGAAACATTAACATCAGGCGCATTTTGTTTGATGCACGCAGGAATAATCTAACAGTCTATTAGTAACTCGAACTTCAAAACAGTAAAGAGTGAAATTCCTGCTCCACTGAAGTGAATGGGAGTTTTGCCATTGACTTCAATGGAGCCTGGGTTTCACTCCAAATATTTTACCCATGTTGTTTCTACACACAGAGAAAACTCCTCACATGCTAGGATGAAAAGTTCCAGCAGTATTTCTCCAATGCAAATAAGCCCATCTAACGATTGTGTTCCTGAAAGTCAGGAAAGGAAGAGCTCAGTACCATGAAGCAAGGGATGTGAGCTTGTCAGGAATCTTCCAGAACAAAGTTTGCCCAAAAATGCCAGTTTAGAAGGTTTGTGGGCATGCAGCAATCCTGTTAACTTTTCTAAGGGAGACCAGACAGGTTTTCAGTGTATCTTGCAGCTTGTCTGCCTTGTGACTGCCACAGTCCTGAGACTCAAAGCTGGGTTCTTTTTGGGTTTCTACTGTTTCTGTGGGATGGGATCTGGCAGCCCTCCTGTTCTGGCAGCTTCCTGAATGGCCTCATGCTCAGCACATCAGCTGTTCCACCTCAAAAGGCTGAAAACAAATCATCTTCCTGACTTTCCAAGTGCTTTAGGATCCCTGATTTTATCCCTTCCAGAAAAGCCTAGTGTTTGGTCTAGGGTTGTTAATTAGGAAATACTTCAGCTTTCTGATTACCTTCAATTCTTTTTTGTCAAATACGTTGAAAGTGAGATTTTGTTGGCAAAAAACAAGGGTAGCACTTACTAATTAAATGTACATTCGTGTCCTTAACTTTATTTTAAACCTGATCTCATAGAAGATGTCTTGCCTAGGACAAGTGCTGAGGCTGCCAGTCTTTACTCAGCTTTATTTTGCAGGGGGTTTGAGGGAGATGAAATGTATTCTCTGTAGAATGAATCTATATAAGAATGGATCAGAACTCACACCTCAAGTTATTTACAGGCTTCTTCTGAAATTCATTCAGTTCTTATAAGTGTGGAAATCTACCCATTTTTCAATCCTGTTTTCTTAACAGAAATTCTTTTAAAAGTCATAAGCATAAAGGAATTGAGCCTGAAAGAAATACCTTTATTGGTATAAAGCAGAAAGAGCTTTGCCAGTTTATATTAGCTTGGGATCTGGCCTCAAGGTACACAGGCAACCCCTCCTGGCCTCTCAGTGATGAGTTTCTGGTAGAATGAAACCAGCAACACCTTTGGAGCCTGTTTTAATTGGCAATGCAAAACTTTTCTCAGCATCTACTTTACCTTACAATGACTCACTTGAGAAAATGATTAAATGACCTGCAGGACTAAGGCATACCCTAGCATGCTAACACATTCTTTTCTGAAGTTCAAGGGTCTCCAGCTACATCAAAGGGACCAGGTTTTCCTAAACACGTAGTAAATGCAATGCCATGCTGGTTCTTTTCACTAATGAATAGTCCCCTTCCTTTTAACAGAATAAATGGGACAGGCAGTGTGTGTTTGTACTAAACACCAGTGCAAACTGAATCAGTAGTTTACATTTCATTTGTGACCATCTAACCTTACCTGCTATTCAGAATTCATGTGGAATTAGAAGCAGGTAATCAGTCTCTTGAAATATTCTGCCTTGGGAAGTTCTATCCCTACATGAACTGATCTTGAACAAAGAGTTGATAAGAAAAGCTCCTAGATTAGAAGTAGCAATGTCAAAATGACACTGCACTGCCCTGCAAACCCACTGCCCTGTGTGCTCCCTGAGACGAAAATGTCCATTTTATCAAAGCCACAAACAGATGCTGCCTGTTACCCTTTACAAAGCCAACAGAGCCGTTACGAATGAGCAGGACTCAGTTTCCCTTTGTGTTACTACCACAGTCACTCCTCCATCCTAACCCCATGCAATACTTCAGCCTTTCATTTCATCACATTCTCCTCCTGAAAACAATGAGATTTCACAAAGGCAAGCAAGGACAGCTCAGACTGTCAGCCCTTCAACTTCTTTCATTCAATGTTTACTGAGAGTAAGCACACTGGGACTCTGGTTTCACACCCCAGCTTCTTTCCTAATATAAATAATGCATTGCTTACCAGACACCACAGCCTCACTGGAGGAGTCCTGCAGCACATTTACTGTTGCTCATTATGTGTGAGGCCAGAAACAAGCTGACTGACCAGTTTGAGTCCTGACTGTTAACATAATCACAGCAAGGCAAATCTGATCAGGAGTCACAGAGAGGCAGCAGCAACAGATTTCTTTGATGCAGCTTTTTGGAGAGCAAGGCTTTAAAGTAGCTAGTACTGCTATGAATAAAAAAATAGCATGCAGTCTCTGGGAGCTCTGGCCTCCCTGAAGCCTGTGCAGCAATCAGAACTGGGTCAGGATGCCAGAATTACACTCTGAGCCTGAGCTGGCCAATTTCTTGTGTAATTCTTCTAAGCTAAACTCAATTACCAGCCCTGTTTTCCCACAGCAATGCTGAACGAATGCACTTGCTTTGTTTGTTTGGGTCATTAGTGGAGTTTCTCCTCTAGACAGTTAATGTAACTAAACTGCTCTGTTTACCCTTGGTGTGTTTTCCAGTGTTTCCTGTTATTCTTTACAAGCCTGAGCCAAAGTGCACCAAAGCCTGTGGAAAGCCTCCTACTGCATCCAATGCCCTGCTGCACATGAAAGTTCTCGAGGTCATGTACACAAATCTTCACCAGAACCACTGTGACCCTTAATAAAAACCCCAAAGCTGAGCTAGAGGATAATGCCAAGGGCTGGGAGAAACTGATTTAGGAGATGCTTAAAATCTGTTCAACAGCTGCAACTCTGGCTGGTAAGAGACCACTGGAGAAATCCTCAGGACTGATACCATTCACTCTCCCGTAGCAGGGAGAGAGATGAAGTTGGGACAAGAGGTAAGTTTGATAAAAAATAGCAGCAGCAGGAGCACTTTTCTACAGAAAAAGGGTAACAACTGAAAGAAAGAAATATAAAGAAGGGAAGCCTGAAAAAAAGACACACAGGAGTGGAAATGCCATGAAGTAAGACCACCTCCATCACCTCCCTCTGAAAGTCAAACCATTCCATTTGCCTGAAAATAATTCAGCGTGAGTCAAATGTTGGATCACTTTAGAAACTCGTGGCTATCAAGGCTACCCAAGGTGTCCTGGCTGTCACCCCAGCTGCTTATTAAACATGCATGTACCTCAGCCACCACTTCTCCAAAGGGCAGGGAGGATGTCCAGCTGCCAAGAAGGAAATAATGACAGCGGGCTGTCTCTCACTCCCACAGAAATCCAAAGGAGTCTTTTCAAAGAACCAGCTTACAAAGAGCT